CTGGCGTAGTCAAAGGAATAAGTAGTAGGGTGACCATTACTGATACGTGATCACTCTTGGACCATTTTTTATCTTACAAAAAGCAGTTTCATAGGGTTCAGCCTAAGCTCTTCTGCAGCCAGCCAGGTGCAAGTGCTCTGCTTGAGATTAGAGGCCACGTATCATGTGCATGTGTGCACATATACTTGTCCGTGCACACCGCAGAACATGTGGGTGATGAGGAGAATACTGGGGCCAACGCTCATATTTTCCAAGAGGGATGCTTGCACTCTCTGGTCTCTTTTTCTCCCTCCAAACTCACGTTAAATCCCTCTCTGGGATGCTGTTCTCCACCCAGCACACCAACCTGCTTTCCTTCCCTCTGAATGCAGAAAGAGGTCAGGCTGAGGAGGGGAGAAGTTGGCCTATTTGTCCGCTACCTTCTTCCTTGCTGGACTCTGGTGTAGAACTAGCTGCATTCCATTACCTGCAGCTGTAGCTGCTGCTTGGTGACTCTGCTCATAGCAATTACAGTGTTTTTTCCTGGCTCTGACTTCAGATTGCATACTGGCAAAGGCGTATTTTCTAGGAACGTGAGTTCTGAGGTTTTTTTTAGATTTTGCATTACTATTGTACCTGCAAGCTAAGTACTAAAACTTATTAAATGCCCTGAGGCAAAAATAACTGTTAATATATTTATAAACAATAATTCTTTATATTTTAAATCTCGCTATTAGCTTTTATAATAATAAAAATTATACAATTATTAACAATTATTATTAAATATAATAATAATTAGTTAAAAAACTTAGTTATTCAGACTTTTTAATCTTCACTAGAAACTATAAAATAAGAACATACTGGCTACAGTTAATTTCTAATATGGAACGTATTCAAATGTTTTTGAAATATAATTATGAGTTTGCTCTCACTTTCCTATTAACTATTAGCTATAGGGGCAAAACATTAAATCAAATACAGTATAAATTTGATATGTAGGGCTGGGCGATAGCTCAGGAGTCTCAGGGCATGCCTGCCAAGCATAAAGACTTGGGTTCTATCCCTGGTACTTAATGCCATGCCTGGAATCCTGGCATGCCGAGCCAGCCACAGAATCCGAGTGCGGTGGTGCGTGCATGTAACTTCAATGCTGGCAAGGCTGAGACAGGAGGATCACTATGAGTCCAAGCTACGTAGCAAGACCCAGCACCAAATAAATAAGTAATTTTTAAAACATAAAATAAATACATTTGGTATATAATCATTGCTACAAATGTTTTCCAGATTTTATTCTTTGTCTTATATATGTAGATGTAAAATAATATAGCATAGACTTTATATATATATATCATACATTAATGTGTAATATATGTCATAAATCAATGTGAAATATGTTTATATGCATATATATGTGTGTGTGTGTATATATATATATATATATATAATCATATATGCCACAGAAAGATTAAAAATAAGTAACCAAAATATATTTTGATTCACTAAAATAACATTTTGGTCTCTAATCTCACATTGGCTTAACTATCTTAAAACTGGTTCTTTGCTACAACCATTTATGAAGTTGTTATGACATATTATCATTGTATTCAGCACTGTGGAAAGTGAGAAGATCGTGGGAATCGCACTCTGGGCTCCACAAGGCTCCTTAATAATGTCACAGGTCCCTGAGCGTTGATTGGTAGGAGCCAGCATGGGAAGCAGGTCTCAAGGCTCTGGCTCAACCTCCCTGTGCACGCAGCCACACCAGCCAGCAGGCGCTCAGCACATAGCTAACCAGATATTAACAGGCCCAAGAAAAGCAGTTCTTCATGCGTCCCTAACAAATTTTTCGTTTTACTCTGGGCAATCAGTACAGTGCAGGCTTCAGTGCTCTCTGAAATAACCTAACAGTAGGCAATAAATAGGAGCACAGATCTTTTCATCACATGGTACTTCACATCTGAGTTGATTACACATTCAGTCCTCATATTGCGTGGCAGGAAAGCCCTAGAGATACCTGCAAGGCCCTTCACAGTTAATCGCGCCCCTCCAAATTTAACAAGTTTATGATAAATTAAAAGGCTATTTGGGAGACTGTGTGTGCCATACAGCTTCATAGCCTAAGTCCTTACAGAAATGGAAGCTAGTTCAAGCACTGCTTATAGGAGCTTTTTAGGCTTGTTGAATGTATTGAAGGGTCAAAGAAAAGGGGAGTAGGATAGAAAAGCAAACAGCTTGACCCAGACTGTGGAGGACACATTGCTTGAACGATAGGACATAATGCCTCCACATATACTTCTGATTCTATTAAAGACTAATATGGGACACTTGATTTCCTCAATGATTTACAACAGTTTGATAAAATGCAGTTGCAGCTTGTATAGATGTTAATGGAGATTATTCCTAATTTTTGATCATCATCTAATGAGAAAAGAATGGTGTTAGATGTCCAAAAAATAGTTAATGAAGATTTTTTTTTTCTTTTCTGTATTTAGGACAGGGTCTACAGGGTCTCACTGTGTAGATCAGACTCATAGTGATTCTCCTGTTTTCAGCATCCCAAGCGCTGGGATCACAGGCGCATGCCACCGGGGATGGAACCCCGGCTGCTGTGCTCTGCCTCAGCAGGCACTTCAGTCTGCTGAGCTATCAGGCCAGCCCTAATGGAGGCTTTTTCTTTTTTTTCTTTCTTTCTTTCTTTCTTTCTTTCTTTCTTTCTTTCTTTCTTTCTTTCTTTCTTTTTCTTTTCTTTCTTTCTTTCTTTCTTTTTCTTTTCTTTCTTTCTTTCTTTCTTTCTTTCTTTCTTTCTTTCTTTTTTTGTTGGAACAGGGGATTGAACTCAGACCCTTGCGCTTGCCAGGGAAGTGCTTATTCTACTGAACCATCTCCCTGGCCCAAGATTTTTTTATTTAAGTTGTAAAAAGTAAGCACCACTAGGCTTCAAATAATAATAAGAAAATTTTATAATGTATAGATATAAGTATTGGTAAACAAATAAGATAAAATTACTTTGATCAACATTCTGGTATTCAATCATAGTTTGAGAAATTAATGTGAAAATCTGACATATCCTTGGCAATTTTGGCAATTCCTGCATTGAACTTCAACTTGGTGTTATAGTTTTCTCAACTTGAGCTTTAAAATAGTGACATAAATTTGTTTGTTCTTTTGACACATTTTGCCTACTTCTGAAAGACACTGAGGAGCTACCCCGGAGAAACACTTAGTATGTCCAGCTTCTTTAAAGTGAGCTGGGTTGGGCTTCTAAGTTAATGTTGTGCATCTTAGGAACAAGGCAGAAGGAGAATCAGACCAGCTACCGTGGTTCTCCTTCTCTACCAATGAAGGCTCTAAGAACAGTGTTTTTCTCTTCTGGAGAAACACTATTTTTCCTAGTCACAATTTCTAAAGAATCAAGTCTATTTAATGAAATCTTAGGAACCTTTGCGTTTTTCTGAAAATTTAAAATATTGCATGAACGTTTCAAATTTTGTAAAGTTGTGATCCCTAAGAAAAGAAATGATCTAATGGCTCTTCATCTGTCAACTCCAAAAGCAAAGCTATTTGAATGTTTTCTTTCTTGTGATGTATTAGAACTCCATTAGTAGGGGAGTCTTCAAATGGTTACTGTTTTTGAGCAAGATCACGCTGTGCTATGTAATGAGGTACAGGAATGCAGTGAGCAGCTTGGCTTCTGCTGACTTTTACTTAAGAGTGTGAAGCATTTTGAATTAGACCACGTTAGCATCGATGACATGTGCACAAGAGGAAAACATTTAGTCTTTGTTCCATTATGAGAGCCACATAAATTAGTTGACTTAAAAATAAAGTACTGCGACCTGGAAATACAACTTCTATAAGAAGTAAAAGTTAAGCAACACTTTTGGAGCCCAATTTGGTAACGCCTGACAAATGTGCAGCGCATTGTCCAACAACCTGGTGATTGTGTGTGTGAGAAGAACCGGCTCATAGGTGAACTGTGAAAGTACACTGAGGTAGACAGCTGCCGCCACAGAGATGTCAAAAAGCCACAACAAAACTGTTGCAAAAATAATATGAACACACACCAGAGGACAGTTGTTAAATAAATGTATATTCATTTCAGGGAAAACCCTAAGCCATTAAAAAGTATGTATAAAGTCATTTCATACACCTTGATATGGAGAGAACTCCTGACTGAATTAATAAGGAAATTAGCCACGTATAGGCCATGATGAATTCTATGACGAATTCTCTTGTGGTAATCTAATAAACAGAAAAATCCTACATATGGAATTATTTCAATTATGACAATTTATGTATTGGATAAGCAAATGCATATATTGTTTTCATCCAGATTTCAAAAGTTTATTATATAAATATTTGCTTCTGGTGGAGAGTGGGCCTAGATAGAGGTAGATTAGAGATTACTTTTCTATTTGATAGCTTTCTGTACAATTTTGGTTTCTCTTACCGGGGGAATGCAGGGCTTCTATTCTAAATGTCAGTAGAGGTGTTCTTAAGTGAGTCATTATTCTTTATTTTATATATTTAAAACCCAATAATGTTTCACAAAATAATTCAGGGTAATTGTTAGGTTTCAGACATCACAAAGTGTGAGAGAAGTATGTACTGTATTTTCAGAAGATCGGCTTGCATCTTCAATGGAATATTCTATGACAAACAGGACTCAGCCCTCACAATTGCCATCTCCTTGTCAAGCACTCACCTCCAGGCTGAACAGAAAACGCAGCAGTCTGAGATGGAATAGCTGGAGACGTCAAAGCTGCCTCCCCTTCTGGGCAGGGAAATAGGAAACCAGTCATCGGCATTGCTCTCCTGGTGTGTGCAAAGGAACACGCCACGAAGCAAGGGCCCTCTGAATGTCCTTCATAGTTAACAGATCCAATCTAGACTGAGGATGGAGAGAAGTGGCGGCACCTTTCCTCTGGACCTCGTGGTGCCACCCAGCATCCTCTACCTTGGAGGCAATTCCAGAAGGAATCAACCTCATGACTGTCTTCTGCTCTTTTGAATCTTTTCAGAATTGCAACTTCCGGTGAGTCCTTCTGTGTGTCTGGATCAGGAACAACAGTTACAGCTGAGTACACCAAGTCATCTTTTAAAAACCATGAAACCACATGTGTGGAAGTCCTGGGACTGGCAACGTGAACAGCTGTAAGCTAATCATTTTGAACTGTTCAATCCAGCATGCATTGTAGGAGGCGGCTGCCTTGGAGAAACACAAAGAGCAGCGCTGCTGGTGGTGGTGGTGGTATTCCATGTTTGAATAATTAGGTTATGTTGTATACATTTTCAGTTATCTTTTCATAATCGCTAGTCTCTTCTACACTAATGAAAATTTTCACTGCCATTGAATAAACATTTGGGTAAATGGCACTCTTATCTAGTAAGTTACATTAATATAAATTGAATTTAAAGCATTGACAATGTGAAACTATAAAATTTTAACTTCTGCTGTCTAATCAAATGGCCCTGCCTTAATTATGAGTACAGATGAATGCATTTTTATCTAACTATTAATTTTTTTTTATGGTTCCAGGATCTAACAAGAAATCTGCCAAGTATCAAGTTGTTCAGGATACCTCTAGGGGAAGGATTTTAGTACAGAGATAAATTATAGGGGCAAGTTTAGAGATTTTAATTATCTTATCTAACGCATAAATGAGTCTGCTTCATCCTATTTTATGGTTATTAGGTAGAATGGCAGCGGTTAATAATATTTATTGAAAAATTGTATGCATCTTACGCTTACCTAGACTTCAAAAGTTAAAATAATACATTTTTTTCATTGACCAAACTTAGATATTTAACATGTGCAAGCACGGTGAGGAAAGAGAAAATAGCTATACATTTTGTTCTCATTCCTCTTGACCATGTAGTTATGTTGTCACAAAACATCAAAGGAGTCGTCCTTTGGAGACCGAGCTGCTTTTTAAATAGTTTCCAAGATGGAAATTGACACTGAATTTTCAGGGGTGAGAGGTTTTCAGTAGGCTTGGACTAGTGGAGAATGTATTTTGACATATGTTCTGCACTGTTTTTGTTAAAACTTAATGTCGGGGCCAGGGAGACGGCTCAGTAGAATAAGCGCTTGCCTGGCAAGCACAAGGGCCTGAGTTCAATCCCTGGTTCAAAAAAAAAAAAAAAAAAAAAAGCCTTGTCTTTTCACGTACTGGGAAAGACAGAGCAGAGGAGGCTGGGGAGGAGGAGGAAAGGAAAATCACTGTCTCGTTTCCTCCCAAATAGTAATTGATACCAGTTTTCTGATGATGGTGTCAGGACTTTGAAGTCATGCGATAGTGTGACTAATTTACTTTTTAAACTCTTTAAACCTTACTCGAAGTATTGTTTTCATTTTTAGCTTTCTTTTTCGTTTTAAAACTTCTGACTGAATCCAGTCAAGAAAGCCAGGTTCGCTCCTCGCTGTCCTCGTCCGCCCCCTGGTGGTGATGCTCACATCAGTGGAAATTGTTTAAAGAACTCTCACCTTGCAGGCTGGGGTCCGGCGAAGGCCTACAGGGACGTACAAACCGTTTAGGTCATTCGCGCATTATATATTCAGTCTGAAATCATGGGGCTCTTTATTGTTTTATTTTTCAGGAATCAAACAGCAGCCCTTGTTCCGCATGAGACAATCTTTCGAACCGAGGATCTCTCCGTGATTCTAAAAGCATACGTGTTGGTGACATCCTTAACCCCTTTGCGTGCATTCATTCATTCAACTGGCACAGCGTGGATTCCGCCAAAGAAAAAACGCTTCACTGTCAAGGTAAAAGTTCCGTCTAAGCTGTTACTTCCCACAGAATACAATAAGCAGAGTAGCCGGGCTGCCATTCTCCGACCTTTATGGTTATCAAATTCCTTTGAACAGAGATTGCATCTTTTTATTGCTCCAAGCAAAAATTTTTATTTAATAGGTAGAGGTTCAAAACAACTGGAAATAGCTTAATTCACCAAGGGTCACGAAGGCTACATCTCTTTTTTTCCTCAACTCATTTTAGTTCGATTCTGGGACCCCTGTGGAGCTGGTGCTTGGCTGTGCTCTTGACTTTACGCTTCTTGACTTTTTAGTTATTCAAGAAACATATAGTCGATGCCACAGATGGAAATATAATTTTGTTGTTATGCTTTTTGCTTCAGCCTTTGAAAATAGAATATATATTTCATGACATCAGTCCACGTGGAATACTTGCTGAGTGAAAAACAAAGCTCTCCAGTGTAGGTGAAATGACAAGCAATGGCACGCAGGGTAATGAGGACTTCTCAGGGAAGAACTTAAACGATAGCACCTGGGGCCGATGAGCTAGCTCAGTGGGCTAAGCCTCTGCTTAGGCAAGCGCAGGGACCAGGGTTCGATCGCCTGCACCACATGCTGTGCCGGCCCCGGCCCCGGCCCCGGGCACTCTGGGAGGGTCACGGAGTCCCAGGGTGGTGGCGCGCGCCTGTAATCCCAGCACTGGGAGGCTGAAAACAGGAGGATCACTGAGAGCCCGAGCTGTGTAGTGAGACCCTGTACAAATACATCATCATCATCGTCATCATCAATCATCACAGCACCTAAAAGTTTAGTTAGAAAAGATAGTCCAGATTAATTAAACAAGTTTAAAATTAAGTCTTAAAAGATATATTTGGTAAGGAATATTTGATTTTACAGAAATAATTGTTCAGCATAGAGATAAATGGACAAAAGAAAGAATTTTAAAAATGCACAAGAGGCTGGGGAGATAGCTCAGTGGAATAAGTGCTTGCCTGGCAAATGCAAAGTCCTGAGTTTGATCCCGGGTAGCACAAAACAAAACAAAATTCTTTAGGAGGCCGGGGAGATGGCTCAGGGGAATAAGCGCTTCCCTGGCAAGCGCAAGAGTCTGAGTTTAATCCCCAGTTCCACCAAAAAAGAAAAAGAAATTAAAAATGCACAAATACCTCATAGCTCCAAGAGATCTTAAAGTCCTGAATTTAGTTTCTTTTTCAGAATTTACCTTACATGAATTGCCCTTTTAGTTCCATAAAATATTACAGTCATGAAAAATGTAAATAAGCCATTTTAATGTTGGTGACTGAAAACACTTTAGCTGCTGAGCGAGGTATTTGACTGTGACTAGACTAATAAAACAGACAGCTGACTTTTGGGGATGGTATTGATAACTCGCGTTCTTAAAATTGATTCTTTTATCTTAAAATCAGTCATCTTATCTTAATCACATCAATATACATGGTTTTCAAATAATCTTGAAAAAAATGGAGTCTGATTTGGTTTCTTCATGTTGTCTCTTGGGCAATTCCTTGTACTGGCTCTTTGTATCTTTCCAAGTATCCTTAATCACTGCCACTTTTCCTTCTTTTTAGATATACTTGCACAGAGCTGCTGCTAGTTGGCCATTTTTACCTGTATAAAATTGCAACTTCATAGGTCCAATCTAATAAAGTAATTGGAACACAATTGTAGAGAGATGGGATAAGATACTCGTAAATTATGTCAAAGTTTTCAGTAGTTATATGTTCAACAGAAGGCTTCTTTGTCTATTTAGTGAAAAGGATTTAGCCCATTTATTATTTTATTTGCAATCTCCACTCAATTTGTCTGTCTGCCTGTCTGCCTCTCTCTCTCTTTTTCTTTTTTTTGTAGTACCAGGAATTGAACTTGGGACCTTGCACTTGCCAGGCAGGCGCTTATGCTGCTCAGCTATCTCTGCAGCCCCTTCTCACTTTAAAGAGCCACCATTGCGATAGTTTATTCTATATACTCTCATTTATATAAATATACATTTTCTTTTGTGTGTATTTATAATTTATGTAAATTTTATGATATTAGGGACTTTTCTTTGTCTAACATTCTTATATGCAGCACTACATAGTTTTAGGAAGAGACTGTCTACGTTGCTAGTTGATTTTGTTTGTGCAGTAGTTGGAATCAAGCGCAGGTGTGCCCTGCCACTGAGCCGCATCTCCAGCCATTTTTATGTCCTGAGACAGAGTCTCACTTATGTTTTCTAGGCTCCACTGTCCTCCTGCCTCAACCCCTCGGGGATTACAGCTGTGCACCACCACTGGCCTTACATTTCTATCTGCGCATCTTCTTATCTTTTGATTTGTTGCATTCTTTTGTGGTTTCACATTACTGTTTACCTATCCATTTCTTTAGTAAGAACACCCTTCTTGCTCCAATTCCTAGCCAAACCAAACTGTGCTTTCAGTGTCAAAACCATTGTATGTGACCTTTCATTGAGGTGCGTGAGATTTTTCTGGTGAGTGCGAAGACAGCAATGCAGTCGCAGGTCCCCATGACGCCCGCAGAGTGCAGCTTACCTCCCTGAAGGCCTCCATTGGTCTCTACCCCTGTTCAGAGCTTCCATATCTCCACCATTTTGCCAACACTTGTTCTTCGCTGGTCCTAGTTTTGCCAGCTTAACAGATGAGACACCATGCATTGTTCTTGCAAATACTTGAACTTATCTGTTAGCTTTATCCACAGTACTCTTTTTTTTGGTTAAAAAAATCTTTAATCAATGAATAAAACTAATTTTTCTTCATGATGTATGTATTGGGTTTTAAGTTCAGAAATTTTTTCTTATCTCTGGATCATAAAAGATGTGTGTCACCATTGTCTTCTATTACCTTTAAATTTTTTCCTAAATATAAATATTTAATTCAAAAAGCATTCATTTTTGATGTTTTCTTTAGTATATATTCAACCAGTTCTCCCAATATCATGGAAAGCTTATCATTTCCTGTCACTCTGATGCCACTTTTATTGCTTAAGACCACACATGTAAATGGATCCACCTCTGATCCTCCCATTCTATCCTAAGGGGTACAGTTATTTACATTACTGTGCAGTGTAAGTATGTCATAGCACCTGCAAGAGAGACTACTTGTCTCTACTTTTTACTTTCAAGGTTAGATAACTTGGTTTTGAACATGTATTTCTTTCATCATAAGAAGGTGTAGGATCTGCCATATAAAAGCTAAACAGCCAGGAAAGGTGGTGGTGCAATTCATTCTCTTCCTTGAGGCCCAAGAACCAGGAGCTCAGATTCTAGAGTGTAGGACAAGATGGATGTCCCTGTTCAGGAAGGAGCAAGCAAATGCTTAGGGTTTATTTCTTCCATCTCATCTGTTTACTTAGCATTATGTCTTCCCACAGCCCCCTGTGCCCCTCGGTGGGCTTTGGGGGCCATGGAGATAGCTCAGCAGTCTAAGTGCCAGCCTACACAAGCTCAAGGAACTGGGTTCAATTCCCAGCACCACATGCCACCGTGCTGAATGAGTGAGTTCTGTGTCAGGATTTCACCCACTAGACCTTGGAAGAAATGCCAAGAGGAAACAAGCACATCCCTTTTGTAATCTCCAAGCCTCATGGCTGAGGAAGATGGAGTGAAGGAGTGAAGTCAAATGTGACTGGTAATCTCCTCTATCCCATCAGCTCTTTACCTGAGCAGCACATTATGCCCAAGAACTACAGTACCCCCAATCCTGGGCCTGGGCTTAGAATCAAAGCAGGAACAGGTGGAGACTGCCCTGGAGAGCAGAGATGAGGCTGAAAGAAAATGCAAACACTTCCCTCCAGCAGGGCCTCTCCCTGACCTCCTGCAGCCCACAGCATCCTCTGTCCACAACCACAAGGCCAGACTAGTGCAAAACAGCTTTCAGCTTTTTATTGTCTCTTTGTTATCAAATTCATGCTTCAGTCTCCTTTTGTCTGTGCTAATGCACCTTAACAGGAAACTGAAGTTCTTAGGTATTCTGATTTTTTAAAAGTATTTTTCCTTTTTTTTTGTTTACTGCAGTGCCGCTCTACATACCCCTAAGGAATGCCCTACAGAAATGATAAGGTTTCTGTGTTTGTTTTTATGTATGTGTTTCCTGAAGATAAATCACAAGAAAGGAGAGCTCTCTGTGATTTGCTTTCCTTATATTTTCAGGCTATATTCACTATTTTCTTATTCACATTTTTGTCATGTCTGTGAGAGAGACGCAAGCTGCAGTTGCAGCTGCAGCACAGGAGAGAATGCAGCTCTTGTCATTTTCATCCTGTCCTTGGGGTTTATCTTTTCAAGATCTTATCTGATTATTCTGGACAAAACTGTTATCTGCTCTCGGGGAAGTGGTGCCTGCTTCCTGGGCTAATGTACAAGAAAGTGGTTTTTCTCCTTCTGAAGCCAAAGTTATGCTCTGTGATAAGGATAGATTTTAGAAAACAAGGGGATATTTACTTGCCCTCTAAAGCACTTCACTTAAAACAAATTGATCTTAGATCGCTTACCTCACTACTTCTTCCTGGTATTTTTAGATGGGGGGAGGAGATACCCAGAAGCTTCTCAATGATAATGTGGAGGACAAAACTAAAACCCAACTTTAAAAGCAAACCACATTACATCAGCATGTTATTAAACTCCCTTCTTAAATTCCACAAAACATAATTTGTGTGTGTGTGTGTGTGTGTGTGTTTGTGTGTGAGTGTGTGTGTGTACCAAGGCATCCTGAATTCAAAGATGAAATTACTTAGTTAAATCAGTAGTGATTTATGCACTGTTCAGTGAGGCAAGCCCACTAAACTGGTTATCAGTGGCCATTTATAGAACATTCTGGCAGCTAAGGAGGTATGAAAGCAATAACAGATATAACTATGAGCTCATTTATTTCCAATTAGGTCTGATGCTGAGATGCTGTGGGAGCTTTGGAGGGAAATGAAAAATGTCAGGAAATGCAAATTTTAAAAACAATGAAACTTCTGTAAACTGAATTTTTAAAAAATCCCCTTAGAATGAA